AGCGTTCGCCTCGTTGGCGTGAAAGGCCAAGTTTGAGGAGGTGCGGAAGAGCTGTGCCCGTGAGCGCGATGAGCTCTGGCGCTCGCAGCTCGGCCGCTGGAGCCGCGAGGCGCGCCGCGGCAGTTTGTTCTTCGATGACTCCTTGCCGAGCTGGAAGGTGAGTTGTTTATTTTAATTAAGGGGAAGTGAGAGTGATACTGGGACATGCGAAAGTCTTGGAAGTTGCAGAAGGAAGACAATTACTAAGAGGGCGAGCAGGTAGCTGTGTTTGTAGCTGCGTTTGTATTTTATATACTGACTTATAGGATCTTATAGGTGCTTCTTCCTGTAGCCTGCGCGTGTAGTAAGATCTCTAAAGACATTGCAAGGGTAGTCAGTGATCCTTGAGTCCTCGAGTCTGGTGCATTGACTGGTCGGATGATTGGTCTATGGCTTGGTTTGCGAGTTTTAAGCTTGGTTTGTTGCTACGTTGTTTGCTTACCTTAGCTATGAATCAAGCCATGAGTCTGTCTTTGGGATGAAGAGCTACATGTTGTGGTACGGCTCGACCATCGGGTACATGCACCCTGCCCGTGGGTAAAAACATGTCAAGATCCAGTCCACTGGGTGAGTCCATCCGTTATTTCGGACCAATGGCTCCCTACTGTGCCCCCCTTCAAACAAAAAGAGCTACACTCCGTGGAAGTATCATGGTTGCGTTTATGGCCTCCCTCCACGAAACCATGAGGATTCCACTGAGTGTACCCTGCAGGAGGTTAGGTCCAGCCAAGTTGGTCGGCTTTTGGGCGATCCTCTTTCAGATTGCAAAGGATCAGCAACCCATGGTTCGGGTGGGATCTCACACATTCATTGCGAGTCAGTTTGGGGTTGGCACTTTCTAAGTCATACCTTTGGCAAATTCCAAAATATCCACGTTGTAGGACTCATCAACCACGACCGGCGCAAAATTGGTGTCATCTACTCTTGGTTTTGCAAACATGGAGACTGGGCCTCTTCTCGTCATCGCTGCATTTCTCTACAAGCACAAGACAAATTCAGGATGTTTGTGTTCACCTTCAGGCTTTGCTTTAGAGAGGGTAGACTTTCGTGCCACATCGCCGGGGTGAAGAACCCTTTTTCCTGTCAGTTGCATGTCTGGCGGTCGCGGCTGCGTGCCTTGCGAGCTGAGTAAGGGGCTAAGGGGTCCAGGTGTCGCGTGTGATGAGGGTATCTCCATGGTGCAAGGTGTGCGGTAGAGGACGCTACGAACGGAGCAAAGGGCATCGCTACTAGGAGCAAGGACACTACTAGGGGCTCCTGGCCATACTACTAGGAGCAAGGACGCTACTAGCGGCTTTACGGGCCGTTTTGCAGAACATATCAAGCCAATTCAAGACATGATATTTACTATATATAGATACGTTGGGCATTTGAGAGCATCACAGGTCCCCGGACTCCAAGGTCACTTGGAGGCTTGACATCACTGGACCTCTGAACACCTGAATTGAGATTCAGGGAACAAAGAAACCCTTTCTTGATGGTGATCTATTTTATTCTTTATATTATTGCTGTATATTATTACTTTAAAACCATGATACTTTGAACTATGTGATCATGTGATCATGATTATCCACTCCCATATTCAACTTGATTGGCATACTTGGAGCATGTTTTAAACCACCAAACGTCATTCTTTTCAAGTGATTCTTGAATCCTGCAAGCAGGTAGTAATGAGCGTTTATCCATGGATTTATGAGTGAGAGCTTCAATATAGTCTGTCGCAGACAGCCTTATCATAGGTCACATGCCATGTCCGTTTTTCTCTCATCGTGTGAGTCCCTCAAACGATCACAATGAACTGTGTATCAACCAAGGTCGTGCCAAAGCGCCGGCGTAGCTGAAGAGATGAAACTGGCTGAGGAGGGACTTCGAACACCCTGCGGGAAAGATTTGACGAAGAATCGCGGTCTTAACTCAACAGTATTCATCGGATTCATAGGCCGGTAGCGCTTGTGTTGGCCATATGATGCATGGCTGCCTCTGGTCCAGGAGGGCTGCCTCCATGCAGAGGCGATGTGTCGTCGGGGAGATCCTGCGGAGTGGGTCGCGTCTTTCTAACCTTTGGTGAAAAATGAGGTTTTCCTGAGCGGATGTGAGTGGCTGGGTGCAGATGCATGTTTGGATAGTTCTGGAGGGATTGTACGTTTGAAGTTTGTTCCTGCTTTGCAGAGCAGTGTCACCCCCAACAGCTACGTACCTTGTGCAATGGTAAGGTAGCACATCATTCAGGCGATTTCAGGCGCATTTTGTGTGTCAAGTCTCACTCACACATCTCAGCACAGACAGGCTTGGTGCCTTAACATTTGCCGGGATCCTCCAAACAGCATTTTGTGATGTTCAACTCTTCAAAGATGTGAAGCCGAATGGTTTATACTTTAATTTCCTCAGTTGAGTTTTTTCTGAAAGAAGATTCTTGTCTTCACCCCGAGGCCAAAGCAGAAGCTGTCGAGGCGGCCATCAGAAGCACGAGACTTAGAACGGAGAAGTCTTCATCGGAAGACCTGTGGGACGGGTGTCATTCCCACGGGTGCGACCGCTTCGTCCCACGGGTGCGACCTGCGTTCCGTGCCTTCCGTGCGTTCCGACCTGTTGGGTCGGTCCAACAGGTCGCGATTTGGCCCTGCCTACGACTTGGCCCTGCCCTACACCCAAAGTTGGAGACCCACATGGAACCGAAAAACACATGGACCAGGCTGGAAGACTGTTTTCCTCTACAACCCGACGTGGTGAACTCAGGTTCCATGTGGACCTCAAACACACACCGGGTGGGACGCAGCATAGGTCCACCCACCTGGTCGGTTCAGACACATGGTGTCAGGGCTGCCGTGGCTGCCGTGAACATGTTGTGCCCGAACTTGTTGGGGGGATGTTATGGGATGTTGTTGATGGGGAAACGCTTGCCACTGGCTGAGACACTTATATACTTGCGCTTCTGTGCGGCTAGACGGCAAGTTCGGCGCACAGTTTGGACACCTGAGCTCCAGAACCGTAGTTTCAGAACCCATGGTTCAATTACTTGATACAGCGTGGTTTTAGCATGCATGGACAGCTTGCGAGACATGACCATAGTTTCAGATGAACTGTCAAGTCTCGAAACATGATTTCAAACTTCAAACCATTTCCCAAGCAACAAGGTGTTGCTAGCTCCTCTCTTTATTTCGCCCATCCCTTTGCACGTGCGACTCAGGAGCTCCCGCATCGCTGAACGAGCCCGTCTCCCCGGTGTCGCGCAAGACGGCGGTGTCGCCGGCCTCACGCCAGACAGCGCCCGTCTCCTCCCCGGTGGGGAAGACACGGAAGTCGCCTGTCTCGGTGGCGAGGAAGGCGCCCATGGGGAAGATGGCGAAGAAGGGCCCGGAGAAGGTGAAAGAGGAAGGTGCTCCAGACTGGGGCGAGCTGGGTGGTGGCTCATGGTTGGGAATATGTTGGCAGGTGGGTCTGTTTTGCTGGAATGAAGATGCACCGCTACTAGTAACAAGGGCATTGTACTAAGTAGTAGCTAGAAGCTACTAGTAACTAACTAGTAACAAGGGCATTACTACTAGTCGCTATAAGCTACTAGTAACAAGGGCGTCGCTACTAGCAACAAGGTTCTGCCATCGCCAATGTGTGTCAGGTGCCATTGAAGCCTATCAGCCATTGCAATGGCTGCAGTCTACCTGGCAGATTCAGGAGCGAGGAACTGGGGGACATGTTGATTGGGACCCATGGTTCATTATATAATATGCCAATATATGCCAATAGTTATAATAAGGGCCAGGGTACATTTTCTACAGCAAGAAACTTCCCCTAAGGCCCAATGTGTTAATGTTAATTTTGTTAAACACACTTGCGCGTTTCTTGAATTGTATTTCTTTGGCAAAAAGGTGATACATTTTCATGGCGGTCACCTCTGCTGGTGATGCTTCTTTTTAACTCCTTCTGATGACAAGATCTTCGAATACATGCGGTGTCCTCACTTTGGAGTCTGCGGAAAGCGTGTGGAAATTTTGCAGGAGGCGATAGTCCAGTTGGAGGAGAAAGAAGAACGCTGGGAAAGGCAAACGGCTGAGCTGGCCGAGGCCAGTCACGTCCGACATTCGACATGAGCTGGCTGAGAGCCCTGAAAAACAAGCAGCACCTTCATCCACAAGAGTTGTTCCTACTGTAGAGAGGTTGAACAGCTCCATAGCCCATACCACATGTACCACTACAGGGTCCTCTATATGGTCCCATAAGGTCTCTCAACCTCTCTTGGTTGTTGAAGTTGTTCCCTTTCCACTTACTGCGGGTCCTTTCACGGCAGCCGGTTGACATAGATCCTGCCATTCAAAGGGTCCAGTGTCATGGCTGTTTCTTGGAACACTCACAAGTCCCAGGTGGGCCGCATAGCACAGCTTATTCTCTTAGACGGCAGAGACTTCTTTTACCACTGGAATGTCAATTCTCAGCAGCCCTTGTGTAGCAAGGGCGCTATGCTCGGTGGAGGCCATCGGAAGTAGATTGGAGGCCATTACTAGTAACAAGAAGCTACTAGGGGCTCCTGGCATTGCTACGAACGGAGCATTCTTACTACATCTTACTAGTATCAAGAAGCCAGTCGACCATATGGATTCTTGCGGAGTGGACGACTCCGCCCTGGAGCCTCGCGGCCTCGTCTCCGGTCTCCGCAGCTTTTGCTGAGCCGGTCTCGGCCGCCGCACGATGGCCGCCGCATGGACACACCAGATGCCAGTCATTCCCAGGGCCACAGCGCACACCACGAAAAAAGACACATTTGTGAAAACGGGTCTTTGGCACAGATCAACCAATTGTTTGAAAGCTTGGTCAACTACAAGATAAGATTCTATGACATATGCAGTGTTGCATGTTGGATTCTTCATTAAACAGCTGTCGGAGCCTGAGTCGAACAGATGCGCTTCCAAAGTCTTTTTTGACTTGACCATAGCGAAGCAACACTTGGGTACCATCCACGCCGTTCATCGAAAACGCAGGGCACACTCGACCTCCAACCTTTTGGGCCATGGTGGTACCTCTTCCGGCCAACGAGAGCATCACCGCCCTACCGGATGGCGCTACTCGTCGCAGCGCTTGGGGGCCAGTCGTCTTGGGTGTTCCCGTCTCGTGTCTGGGGTCAGTGGTGACTTGAATCTGGTGCTCGTCAGCATGACTTAGATGGTCAGACGAGCTTAGACGAGCTCAGACGGGCCAACATCTTCCCTTTCCTTGCCCACATCGCGCTCCACGTGGGAGAAGAAATAACTGCAGGTCTGAAGACTGAGACAGGTGAAGAGGGGGTTCTCATGTGCAGAGCCTTTGGCATCCAAACAACCGGATTTCAGTCCCATGTCTTCTTCATTTGGATCAGATACCTGTGGTCACTGTCGGATCCGTTACCTTCAGTGTGTTTCACGAAAAGCGGGCCCTCGATGAATTGGTTTAAGGGAACATCTGCAGGAAACCCTTGTTTTCACACCCCAAACTATGGCTTTCTTGGATATTTTACCTTAAACCAATTCCGGGATTGTCTCTCCAGCCATTGATACCTTTGCCCGTGGTAGTAGTGACTGGGAGTTAGCCTGAAGCACATATTGTGGGACAGACCTTGAACTTGGTCTTGCACCAGAACAAATATATGCTCTCAAGACTTTGGGGCACATCCCAAGTGGTGGCTTCAGGTGCGGGATTTGGGCTGGGCGAAGAGTTCTGAGGGAGGTAGTACACCCAACATGATCGAAAGGCTATAGACTATCGTTTGGCACGCTCCCACAGAAAACCCCATAGACGGGTTCTTTGTGTTTCTCACGTACACTCGCGCCGTCAACCACTTGGGGGCATCCTGCGGGTCAGAGATCGGGCACAGGCCTTGGAACAGGTAATTTAAGCATATCCAGGAGTTCATGCTCCACCATGATCCATGATCAAAGAAGAAGTGTCCAAAGAAAACAACACGTTTATAACACGTTTCTCATGTTGTTCCAGCAAATGTTGCTTGGTTCCATTCCTGGGTCATTTTCCACCCTCATCCACCATCTGCTGTGTAAAACGGCAGCAATCCACCCGGGTGAACCAACGCATCCCCAGACGCGATCCACCAAAAGCGGTGCCGTCACCAGGGGCAGCCGATGCTGGTGAGGAACCCAGGTATGCTCAGATGGAAATCCGTGGAGTCTGGGACTATTTCCATGTCCTTTCTTTTAAGGCACAATTGAGTCTGGAGAAACACCCACCCATCCACCCACCCACCCACCCACCCAGAAGAAAAGAGCTCGGAAAGGCAGAGTTTCAGAGTTTCGCGTTGTGCACTAGCCCTTTACCGCATTAGCTCTTTGGTGCATTAGCACTTTAGTGCGCAACACCGAATGGGAACAGCTTGAGCGTTACGTAAACTCACTTCCAGAATGTTAAAAATTGATGCAGGTACGTCCATCTGGACAAGCTGGAGATCCCACTTCACTGGTAGCTTCATGGGACACAGTCCCAGTGAAATGCTGTGCCCCCCTGCGGAGCGATGTGCAGGGCTGAATAGAATTGTAAAAAAATAGTGTCCCTGGAGACGGGCGTTGACACACTTCGATAGAGTTTCATTCCGAACGATAATCCAACGAATGCAAGGCTCTTGACTGGCTACTTAGTGCAGAACGGAAAGGTGGTAGGTCAGCGTACTTGTAGGTGCTTTAACAAAGGATTCCGGAAACTAGTTTCTGAATACTTAGCACACGTGAATTAAACGGGATGCAGAAAAGTCATCGTAGCTCCCGGTATGTCCCCAACTCAATGGGTCAGTCATCCAGGGACGCTACGGCAGCTCCCAGCTATGACCCCAACTTAATGGGTTAGTCATCCAGGGACGCTACATGCACGTACAGGAAACCGGCCAAGTTTCTCTTCCCACTCTTATCCACAGCTTCATTGCGTGTGATAGGATAAGCGTGTCACACGCCCCTGCTGAATAAAGATCTGATATCGGGTGGAACCCTTGGATACAGGGTGGGACACACACAGAGCTGACTTCGGCACAGCTAGAGTAGGGTAACGCCAATGTCGAGGAAACACCTGAATAGCCACCTACGTAACAAGCCTTTAGAAAAAAGAAAAGGACAAAAGAACAAAAGAACATAGAATGAGAATCAAAGAAAAGCAAAAGAAAGAGATAGAATGCTTTAAGATACATGCAAAGGACCGGAGAAACAACCTAATAAGCTTCGAGGAAGAGAGGACAAGCAGAGAAGAGAAACGCATCTGAAAGGAGAGAAAGTGACTGCAAAAAACATGAGTTACGGCCTAACAAGCCTCTAGGAAGAGAGAAAAAACAGAGAAGAAAAACGCATCTGGAAGGAGAGAAAAATGACTGCAAAAGACTGGGTGTCTTCGGAGAAGTGGTGCCGAATGAACGGAAAGTTAATTGAGATCCATTGAAAGTTCCGTTTGCAATAGTGTCGTTCGACACAAAAAAGACCACAATGCAGACGTTTTTTTGACTGTTTGGCCCTCAGGTGGTCGGATACAGGGCACGCAGATGCCAAACCATTGATGAATCCCCCCCATACCTAGATCTTCGTATGAGGCACTTTTCCAAAAAGGTTGCCTTTTACTGTGCGGCGTAGTAAATTGCAAAGCTGCGGCGTTTCTTGATTTTGCGGTGGCGTTTTTCGTGGTTGGCTCGAAGTTGGGTATAGTTGCTTGATTTGTGCCCTTCATTGAGTATAATTGGGTATAGTTGTGTCAAACCCTGAAGGTTGATGAGCGCACCCCAATGTGTGAACTTCTCGTCAACATGCCGACCGGTGACCTTTCGAAACGGCTGGTCGTTCCGGAAGAGTACCAGCATGTACCAACCAGTGTTTCATAATTTGTTTTCGTGCTTCAGAGCTCCCTGAAAGAGAGTGATGAACATTCAACACCAAATTTGGAATTTGTTCTTGAGCTTCATACGTGCTGCGTGAAGTTTGCGAAATTTGCCGGAAAATATGGCGGCGTAAATCCGTAAATCCACATAATGGCGGCGTAAGCCCGCGTAATGGCGGCGTAAATTCCCGTAATCAAATTTAGGCAACATTTGTCAACCATGGAACACTGAGATTGCTTGGCTTATCAGGGTGTAGCATACACATGAGCACAGAGACTCTTGTTAGGGGGTGGTCAATTGGTGGCGTTTTTTTGGATGACGGCAATTGTCCATTCTGGTGATTTTATTCATCAGCAGTCTACACTATGGTTTACGAGGCGGGACCACCTGCGGCAACCTATGACTCTATGATACGCTATGACTAGTTCGTCATTGTTACAAATGACTAACAGATGTTTGGGAATGGTCGGAATGGTTGTGAACAGGTTAGGTTGAACGCACCAAATCAGATCGACCGGTGCCATTGTTGCAACGAAGCTCCAACGTGATGTTGGGTGCCTCCGGCACCTCTAGTTGTCACGAAGCACCCCATAATCTATCATCTCCGATCTGGATGTCCCACAGAAGTTGTGATAGCAGTCCAGACAGTGCTGGGGAAACGCCGTGTTTTCTCTCCAGAAGCAATTTAGTTTAGATTTCCACTCAGATGTGGAGTTGTCTCAAGCGAAGAACCCACAACCCCATAGACTAAGACTCAGGACCTTTTGCTGAAAGGAAGAACTCCTGAGGAAATGAGTCAACCCCTTCGTGAATTGGGCGCCCAGGTCCTGATCCGCTACGCGGTGGTAGGCCTTTGGGTCTTTTCCATCTTTTTGGTGATCATATCTCCATTGAGCTACTTGGGCCCAAAACAACGATTTCAGAAGATGGCCATCAGTGCTGGTCAACGCGAGGGTGGCTATGGGTGACACTGGGTGACTTTCACACAAGCAATCATCAGTTCCGCTAAAAGCTGGAGTCTTTTTGTTCAAAGTGTTTGTGGGAAAACTGTTCTTCAATACGAGTCGTACGAGTTTGTGGACAATCATTGAGCCTCTCACCGGTTTTCGCAGTTGCTGAGTCAGGCTCAAGAAACTATAACAAGGTTTGTTTCGATGGGTCAACAATTGACGTTCAGAACCTGAGAAGGCCAAGGTTTGTGTCAAAACTGAAGCTTTTGTCAATTTAGCATACTTTTAGAATCAAAGCCGCTTGTCATATCTTCCAGTCTGGCTCGGGCCCATTGAGTCCTTGATCAGAAAAAGTCTTGGTTCTGCAATGCCTCGTTTCTCAGATGTGTTTCTATTTTTTCAGTTTTGTCGTTGTCGTTGTCGTTGTTTGTCGTTGTCGCCGTCGCCGTCGCCGCCGTCGTCGTCGTCATTTGAGGTGCCCTCAGCCAGCTGCCAGGGCCCAAGGGGCCCAAGACGACACGAGACGGTTTCGTGGACCAAAGGACCACGAGACCGGGTTCAGTCGTCGATCCGGGGGTGGTGAACCAGTCGATGCCCAAACAACATTTTTCCTCGACTTTGTATCAAAGCAATGTTGATTCTTTGGGGGGGCTGAAATCTGGGTTCAGAGATCCAGGAGGGTCGATCCTGTCCATAGAGATGACGTCCGAAATCCATCCAAATCCTTCTTCGAACTCTAAAACTTGGCTCGTCGCGACTTTCAGCACACCAACCTGCTGCTGCAGCGGAAGGGGGTCCTGATGCAGTTTGGGACGCCAAACCTGCACCTTTTTTCCGCGTGGCAGGGGTATGGCCTGGCTGGGAACCTACCTCTTAGCTGAGGAGACCGCAGTGCGAAGGGCCGGCTTGGAGCTTTGAGGATTTGAGGATGTTTTCTTTTATCTCAGATGGTGCATCATTCGGTGAATGGCAGGTGGCCAGATGCGCTGGCTGGATCTGACGACGCGTCGCGTTATGCGAGTTCGGTTCATCTGCGGGGTGCAAGGGGGGAGACGACACATGCGTTGTATATTTTAGTTTTAGAATTACGCTTTTGAGGCGCATTCAGACTCAGATTCACACTGCTTGTGGTGTGATTCGCCACGACGCGCCAGGACCCACAGATGAGCCCATGCGTCTCAGCAGGGATTGGGAGGGAAGAAAGCAGGTGCACAGGTCAACAGCTCGGATAGAGTTCAGGGGCCTTCAAGGACATTCAGTGACCCATGTACAAAGTCAATTGTACAAAAAGAGAAGTCAGGGAAACATCAGTACATATGTGAAAATTCCGAGGTGTTTGTTGCACCCAGAACTGACCACGGTTATTCTTGTTCCAGAGAGCTGGAACAATGAATCACTCTGACATGAGTCAGTGATTGGTACTTACTAGTAACGATGTTATGAGACGTTATGAGTATCAATTCTGCGACAACACGTCCTGCAATGATAATTTTTCCTCTTTGATTGAAGTACATGCGACGAAGTGCAATGGAGGCAGGGACCCAATTAATGGACGGAGTCGAATTGCGACGAAGAGTTCCTGAAAAGAACAAGTACAAGTACAGGTAATTATTCAGATATTCAGTACTAGTCAGTGCTGCAAGAAGTCGCTTTCAAACAAAGCTCTCAGTCCTTGTCAGTGCTACTCTCGGGGGCTCCAGCTCCTTTTCCCGTGGGGCTGGTCTTACTGATGCTCTGCTTGGCGGCAACGGAGGCTATGCTCGTTTACGGGCCACTGCACTTGGTCAGTGCTGTGGAGATGGTGGCCTCAGGAGAGCGCTTCGGGCTGGGATGCAGCCCGCGGTCCTTCCCGGCACCTTTTTGAAGACGATTGGACCAGGTGTTGGTGCTCTTCATTGCGGCTCCTTCAGATATTCTCACAGTCGAACGTTCGACCTCGTTTTGTGAACTGGGAGAGGGGAACCTGTTTCTAGACCCCATTTGGATCGAAAGACAGGATCTACTCCAGGCTCTGGGGGACACCTCGATTACTCGTACTCCTGGATGATCGTAATGGATCATAATCGACATCTCGAAGGAAACGAGAACTTGGTGTGAGCAAGCCCAGAAACCCCAAAACCTCAGCCAAACCCTCCCCTTTCCAGCACGGGGCCCACCATCGAACCCCCAACGAACCGCCGGGAGCTGGGAAAAAGAGCTGCATGTGAGAAATATGTCATTCCACTAAGAAAGATCTCCAGCAGTCGTTTCACCACCTGGCCCAGAAGGATGAAAGTTGTGAGTCACCCTCAACCTCGTTGGTTAGAAAGGATTTGTCACCCTCACCAACCAGGAGGGTTAGTTTTGTCTCCTGATTGGTTTCAAAGGATTTACTCACCCTCACAATTCACCCAACTATCATGCAATCGATGGGGAAAGATTTGCCAGAGGTGAAGTTTCTTTCGGGTCACTTCTGACATCCACACTGAACCATTCCGCCAGGATGTTGTTCCCCTTCTTCTTGCTGGGTGCTGTGAACTGCTTGGTGGATGGGGCAACCTTGATTCAGGCTCTCTGCGTGGAGCGTTGGGTACGGATCTTCGGAGTTTGGCCAGCGCTGAGAAGGTGCATCCTGAAGGATTGGCCAGTCTTAGATTTGCGTCAAGAAGTTGGTAAGTTGCTCTAAGTTTCAACCTCACTTACCTTCTGACTACACGAACTTGGAAGACCTGGAAGTGGATAGCACGGACAACTTGGATGATGATTGGTGCCAACAGGCTGTGCCATTCACCTCCAATGTCGTCAGAGTGCATCATCCATTGCATTCCATTGCATCCGAGCGCTTCACTGAAGGGATATGATGATACGTCAAGATGTTATAGTCACAGTTGGTCACCGAGATTCACAGCTAGTCACCGTCACGGTGTGTTCCAGTCATTAAAAATGGATAAAAGACTATCTTTGAGAAAGGTTTGCAACCTAACCATCATCCACTGGTACAGGGAATGGGATAATATACCCACCTAGAGTCTAGAGGTATTGGCTGGCCTTCAAAAAGACAGGTTGGCACCTCATCGTCCAAAATCCATCGCCAGATCTTCAGTGTCAATGGCTGGGGAAGCTTCAAGATCGTTGCAGCGCCTCAGCTGAACGCCCGGGGCGTTCCAGGAGACTGGGGCGAGGTCAAAACGTGCGTTCTCGTTCGAGGTCGCTTGGATGTGTCATCCAATATATGGCACGAATGCACCCCTAAAAGTGGGGAGAATGGAGGTCCACAGGTCTGCACTGAATTAGCTTCTACATGCTTCTACTCTACTCTCCATTTCAATCCCTAGGGGATTTGGGTCACTTCTGATCCACAATTGGAATCGCTTGGTTGCAGGTCTTTGATTCATGAGAAACCATCTTCTCCATGTGATCTATGACCCTCTGACCAGGTGGATGCCCTGCTGGGGGTCTTCACCTTTGAGTTCCTGGGCGCTTTGGCCTCCTGGAGGTTGGTCAAGATGGTGATTCCGATGGGCGGGCGCCCTGCCTGAACATGGGAGGTGGAACGGGCTCCAGGATGGGGTTGAGCCTTAGGTCGAACGACAACAGAAGCATCAAAAGGCCATGATTGTAGAGGAAGATGATCTTGCAGAATCTTGCACTTTGATGTGATCATGGGTGAAAGCTTCACTCAATGAAGAATGATGGTTTCCTGTATGGTTCTTGCCCGTGCCCTGCACCACTTGGGATCGGTCACTCCACGCATCCTGCCCGTGCTTTGTGGCCTGCGCGTTTCAAACAGAGGGACCACCTCTACGTCTGAGTACTGCTGAAACTGGGGTCGTGGTCTTGTTCTCGCAGGCCATGGGACCTTTTTTGCCTGGAAAAGAACATGGTCATCCAAGACTGCTCGAGAGGATACAAGCACATGTCCAAGCACAAACCACCAATCGACCGGCAGGGCATGTGAACACTTACTTTGGGGATTGAAGCTCATCCTTGAGACACTACTCACTACTTGCAAGTATTTGGCAAACTCCTACATTTGTGGCACTATAGATGTTCACCATTCTTTCAAAGTCTCATTCTGGCCGCTTGAACCAAATCCGGGTATCTTATTCTTTTTCCGCACATGAGGCTTCTCATGGGATTTTCTCCATCGACCTCAGAATCCGTCCACATCCGACCAAACCTCATGAGGTTCGCCGACAACGGCGCTCTGGATGGTATCTGGGCAGCGTGACGGACGTAACCCGCGCCGTGTTGGCTGAAATGCGCGGTGCCGGTCGATGGCTCCGGTGATTTGGGTGGCTCATTTGCCATCAGAACGGACGGTGGTTGGCCACGACTGGACCCCTTCGTCCACTGGAATCCTGACAAGTATGTTTGGTTGGCCCATGTGAAGAATCCCTGGAGGGGTGGTTCTTCGGCTCGTTCGACCCTTGGAAGGCCCTCTTGAGCCTCAGGTGAAGAAAGACAGTGTGAGTGACTGGGGTTGGTGGAGAGTCGGGACAAGTGGTATTGCATTGGTTTGGCCACGCGAAGCGTGGCGATGACCTTTTGCCCGGAGAAGAATGGGAACTCCACACGACTCTTCCTCCAGGAGAGAACAGTTGGTCTTCATCAGCGTTGTCAACGTATCTTTTGATAATCATGATGGTGATGGTGAGATCATTGTGTTGTGGATGGCGACGGATGATGAGAATGACTACATCACTAGACAGCGCTTTGCAGTCATTCTGGGATGATTCACCTTTGATGATTTCCAAGGATACCGAGAGCTTCCCGGTGCTCCAGGCTGGTGGAATGTGGAGAAAATTGAATGCCAAAAGAATCCTTCGGGCACAGAAACATGTTCTAGTGTCTCCGCTTTACATGGTAGATGTCTGCAGTCATTGCCCTTTGACTGTGGGCTTTGAAGAGTTGCCAGCTCGACCTATTCTTCGAAACAATCTCGTTGGAGAGTTCTTTGAAAGGGCCGGGTGGACTGACAAAGGCCAAGACTCCTAACGGATACACCTTCTTCATCCTTCCCTGGCGCCGTGGGTTCGCTAAGCCCCCCCCCCCATCTCCAAAAGAAGCAACCACTCAGAGGCCGTTGCCGCTTACACCGCGGACGAACTCGTGCGGCAGGTCGGCCGTTAGGTGGTCCAGGCCCAGGAGGCAGGATGGTGTTCAAATGGCCGGTGTGAGCTCTGGAGGGTACTGGCAGATGACCAACTTCATGCAACTTCGGAATCCGATCAACTGCAAAAGAGGCACGACCTAGGCAAAAGAGGCACGTAGTTCCCGCTTGGCCTCTACCGTGGGATGATCGAGGGCACGATCCACTTTTAGTGACTCCGATCGAATCCGCGAACGGCCGAAGTCGATGCCGCAGGGCCAGAGGAGCCTGCTTCTTTGGGAGAAAAATGGATGAACACGAAAAGATAAGCACAATGAATGATCATGAATGTATGAAACGAAGCATTGAACCTCCCTGGTCTTTGACCTGATCTGGTTGCGGCTTTTTTGTGGGTCTTCTGAGAATCTGGAGCGATCGGTGAAGGCTTTGCTTGGAACCCTTCAAGGGCCAGGGTGGTGGAGAGCTTTGTGGCTTCACCGCGTTTGTAAGGCCGTAAGGCCATCCGTAGGGCCCCAGAAGTGATTCAACCCGGAACCTTCAACAGGCCTACAGGTCGTTTCGTAGCACCCAATCTAGACTGATGGACCCGCAGTTTTAAACTTATACTTGTATTTTTCTATCCGTCGGTGGTTCTATTGGTCCTCATGCCTTTGTGCTGATTCGTCCAGTGTGCCACGATGCCTTGCAAGGCATCACAGGTGCCGGAGCGCCACCGGGCGCGGGCAGCACGGATGCCTTCAAGCCCTTTCAGGGAACCGTCCGAAGCTCAATGTTCTGCTTAAAAACGAACTGCTTACCGTATTCTGCATCCTTGGGGCACATCGGAATCCATCCATGCTCACAAGTTAGTCACGCTTGCATCGTGGTATATATATGTAGTTTGTGCTGTTTCTCCAACCCTACACGCACGATTTGCTTGTAATGATGTTCTTCGATACTCGGGGCCTGCGAGAGAAGCTGAGAATGCTCTCGAATGATACGATGGGACACACACGAGATCTCGACGACAGCAGTGAGACGGCTTTCTATGGCTTTCTGACGTGTGTGACTTGGGCCTGGACGACACAATGCTTTAAGACACAGCCGCCGAGGGTCACAAGCTCGGTTCATAGCAGACTTTGCAGAAGGACTGGGCAAGGGGATGCAAGGGAGTTGGATGATCTCAGAGTGAGTGGACTTTGATCATGATTGAGGAGAAATCCAACTTCAGGTGGTTGCATGTCAACTTTCATGGGTTGCCGAACAAAGTTGTTGCTCTGGCTTTTGGTGGTAGAGGCCAGGCTGAATGGCTGGTTGTCATAGATTAGCCAGAACCAATTTTAGATGCAAGAGGAATCCATCAATCAATGCGGTTATAATTGTCTTAATGTTGGTTACACGTACTTGGGTCAGCACGGGCAGATCATCTCCTTTTTTTCTAGTTGACAGTGGATCTCTCATACTTACCAATCCAATCCCCGTTGCTACCGGCTATCTAAAATGAGTGTGGTCAACCACGGATTTTATTTGACTCATTTAGTTTAAGGCTTATCTAAAATGGGTCTTAATTAAAATGGTTGGCACCGAAAGATTTACAAACTTGTCAAATTAGCCAGTATTTCGAGAACGTTGTTTATTCTTTTCACTTTTTAGATTCAATAACTTGTGCAGACCTTTGGGGTGTGAACGTCATTTTAAATATCCGATTTCTCGACAACATGAGGGGGTGAACTTCTATAGTCAGTCGCAATGGGGATCCCATCCATAATAATCCATAGAGCAGAAGAATGGAGAGACATCATCACAGATCCAGTTGTCAGACCCAGGAGCTGGGATTGAGATGGTTTGTTTGCCTACCATTTCTAGGATCAACTGACCCTTTCACCGGATCTTGGAGGGTGGTTTCTGGCCAGCCAGACATAGCCAGACCAGGACCCAAACGACCACGGTGACGCCGATGAGTCGACAGTCCTGGAAGTCCTTGGACATCGAAGCTGGAGAAAACAGGGAGAGAACTGTTTCCACTCAGAACCATCGTTACGGGGATGGACGGCGATTCTGAGACCGGTCCGCCTTGATTTTTGGCGGTTTCTTCATGTAACCAGGACTATACCACCATGGGAGAGCGTTCTCAGTTCAAAGAGCTCCGATGGGAATGTCCATGGAAGGTCTCCATGTCTTTTTGCACCCAGCAACGCTCGTCCAGCTCGCTACATCTTCGGTGCCCCGAGCCCAGAGATGTCAGCACTTCCAATGATGACCTATAAGCAGTGTAGGGTGTTCCATTCAGTTGTGGAAAGGTGTTTCAAGTGTATGTTCGTTTGCTCGTTGAGGAGAGTCGAGGAGCGGAGTGGTTGTGGTGAGGTCGCGAAAGGCGAAGCAGTTTCGAACGGTCTTTTGGCACTTCTCAAGCCGTTAAGTATGGGCTGCTCTACATACTTAACGGCTTGAGAAGTGCCAAAAGAGCGGAACGGTCTTTCTCTTTGGAAATCTTCTGCTCTCATTTTTGCTCCACTTTTTTGCTACACATGATTCATCATGATTTCATGTTCTTCGACGGCGTTTGAGTGTCGAATTGCAGAGAACGTCTAACCTAGTTCAGGTGGTTGGACAGTGGGCAAACGTATTTTTCGTCACTAGAGTTCCTGATTCTCAGTGGAGCAAAAGAGTATCTGAGTCAAACTCTCCCTCTCCAGCTTCGTCGTGAATTCCTGTTTCACCCTGCTGGAGTCTCCGCATATTCCACCCGGCTAGTTGCCAGGGCATTGACTCCGCAGATAAAATGATTGCAGAGAATAGACTAGTTGGAACATGTTGGAACGTGCCTTTCGCTGTCGGTGAACAACGAACCAAAGGGCAGGGCAAGCTGCAGCAATGCAAAGTTGGCATTTACAGCTTGGTACTTCAAAGCAGACAATGAGATATTCAGGTAGTATTCAACTCCCTGGTGTCCGTGTTGAAGTTTGGGAGTTGCCTACATTGGGAACAACCCTCACGTGTCGTGTGCACATGGCCTTTCTCGGCTTCTTGTTCAGCAGACTGCAATACACATGTAGTATGGACGTTGACTTCTTCTGTGTGTTCTGAGAAAAACATTGGGGACCCCTGATGGAGACCCCGGCTCACGAGTCGTGTGCACGTCCACGAACCTCGAAACGAGTCGTGTGCACGTCTGCATGTTTGGAGAGGCACGAAAACAACGAAAAAGAGATGGTACCTGGATGGTATACCGGTATACCTGGAACTGAAGGCCCATGTTTGTTCTCTTTGCTCCACGACAACAGCTTGAGATCATCCAATCCTCTGACAACTGTTTGGCTTTTCCAAATCAAGACGCAAACACAAACACACATGCAGACACAGAATCATACCCCGTCTCCAGCAAACATGGAAGTGAACAATCCCCTGTTTGTAGAGGAGAACGTATGTTCTTTCCAGGGTTCATGCCATCCACTTCCATGATTTTTGCAGGGGGAAATATGGTTCTGCAGTTCTACAGCCTTTTGGACCAAATTTGCTGCCCAAAACCAAGCTTCAGCTATCCAGTGGCGATTCCAGCACGGCGGGGCTCGACGTCCATCCCCGGTGGAAAATCCGGGTGCTCGTCTGAAACCGGTGCCTGATTGACCAAAGGACCGAAGACAAAAGTGGATTGACCAAAGGACCTATTGATGCTATCCACTTTACACTTGCAAGCGTATATTTTTACCCGGACTTATTCAGATTCTTATAGTGGGAGAAAACGCCATGTTTCAAGCCAAGACGAATGGACATGTGGTTTCTCTTCGGTTTAACGATTTGGTCCAAGAGACTCGAAACCATGGGTCCGAAGACGGAACAAATACAAAGTTGGTTTCTCTGATTGCGAGCCGAGTCGAAATGCCTTGCGCAGTGAAAGTCGTGTGGGTATGTATTAATAGGGGGACCTCCCAACCAATGGGTTTTTGGCAGCAGTTTCAGTTGGCGACATGCAGTGACAACCTCCAGCTAAGCCCAACCAATGGGTTTTGATCTATTTCACTTCTTCCAGGAGGTCGAACTGGGAGATCTCCCTCTGTTAATAATTAATACACACCCGTGTCTTCTTTTTGTGCGAAGTGTTTGCTCGATGTTCGAGGTGCGCAGGCCAGGTGTTTCTCGAACTTCCCAAAAACACACAGCCTTTACAGAAGCCGGCGGCTTCAGCCGGTATCCTTGGGCTTGGACGAATCAAGGTTGCTTGTTTTTGCTTTAAATCATCTGACTGGTCTAGTTTGGGCTTAAAGCTTTAATCCACGTCTGCCACCGCCAAGACAGATGTAGTGACAGATGAAGACGGATTGGGTCTTTCGGTCTTCAGACTCTGAGAATCCACAAGATTCACCCTGAGCGTTTCTGCGTTTGGATTTGGAGCGGTTCGTGTTCCCTCTTGAACTGTATTCCCAGGCAGAAGAATCCACCTCAAACAAATATGGTTGGCAAAAAGATATACTGTAAGTATGGATGTACATGATGTTTTTCTTCGGCATGTGGCCACATTTGCCCAGATGATTGGAGGACTCCTGCACTGATATGAAAAGGGAAAAGTGGACGTGACATACAGACACACTTAGTCACAGGGTTTTCAGTTAACCAGAGTCCCGGAGGAAAGGAATGGCTCAACGGAAAGGTGAAGCGTCCAAGCACTTGAAGATGTTTCAAAAAATGTTTGTGCACATCGGCAGAAACTCGACGGCTGCTCAAGCGCGAGAGAAAGCTGCGGAAGGGAACCTGTTTAGGGAGGTATCGTGCAGAACAACAATGAAATCAAACCAAGGAGAAGTGGCGTCACAGCGTGTGGAAAGTTCAGCAGGTACACAGTCAGACGTCTCTGACCGCTTACCATGACATCACTAGCTTCGTTGGCCAGCGTCGTGATGCCATGCGCTGGCCCCCTGCATTTGTTTAGTCAAAACAATCTCCTGGAACCGTAGCGGGGCACACACACCCACTCACCCACTCAAGAAAACTGGCAGCCAAGTTGTGTAGATACAGGATTTGGATGCCTCTCTTAATTGACATGTTTTTGCAGCTTCAGTGTCACAGCAGATCAGTCTCCTCCAATAGAGCCGAAGCCCGGGAGATTCGCTCACATTGGGGCCATGTCTCACCAAGCTTGCAGGTCAAGGAGTGTGAGAAGGAGCAAGAAGCCATTGAGGTGGCGAATTCTTTGCGAATTCCGTCCGAAGGAGCAAGATCTTCCAAAGACGATGGCAAGTCGCTTTTTTCGGCCAACATCTCAAACACCCTCAGGTTGAGGATTCTGGATGAGTCTGGCAGGATAGTAGGACCCTTAAGAAGCTCGGATTCTTTGTGCCAAAAGGTTTGCGAAGGTAACAACATGATTGAACAGCGCACATATAACCTGCTATATATATATAAAATGTACAGTATACCATTACATCAACAATATACATATATATATATAAGTAGCAGTATTGTATATTACCTCATTTGATAGAATAAACAATGATACATATAATATACAATATTATATATATATGTTATTTCGATGTATGTATAAGAAATAATGCGTAGGCTGTGCGGCACTTCAGAGTTCCTGCACCAGCATCAGGAAGTGCACAGCTAAGTGTCCACTCTCTTGACCTCCTTCAAACCCAATGATGGCACACCATCAAAACACCACCAACAACACATCACACTCCCCTTTTTGTTCTTGCTGCTAAGTGCGAGTGCCTGGATAGTTCCTTTATCATTGAAATTTCACAGATGTCAACGGAAGGCGCACGTGAGGGACTTGTCCATGAAGCAACAGCTCCTGGAGCAGCGCATTGCCTCATTCGAGGACACACGCGTCGCGTCTTGGGAACAGAGTACTGTAGGTGGCAGGTGGCGGTGCACGTGAAAGATCCGGATGGCAAGACAAGGAGCGTGAGCCAAGAAGTTAAGAATTGGACCAAGCGACCAGGGGGAGTTTTCAAAAAATCAGATGAGCCTCCCCCTCCTGGTCACTGATCTTCGTGTGATAGCTGGATCATGCTGGATCAGTTTGTATCTGCGCCCTTGGGCAGATGACACCCCCCTCCGGGACACTCCTTGAGGACGGTTCGGAAGAAGTGAAGTGGCGAGAAGAGGCCCTTCAGGACCAGAACCGGGCGAAGCATGGCGAAGCCTTCAGGGTCGTTGTTGGGTGGATGGTGGAGTTTTTGCGTGGACTGTTGAGTCAACCGAAAGGCTGCGACGTTGCCAAAATAGATCACCTGGGTGACCGGTTTTCATGAGGACGTTCCAATGGAGTGCATTCTGTTTTTTGGAACATGATGCACATGATTGCAATGCTCACTTGTCGAATGCTCACTTGTTGCTTATGTAGCGGCCAAATTCCCATGCTGGACACATGGAATATTTTTGCTTGTTGGAGAAAGACGGACGACTCTGTGGTCCGTCGAGGCAGATGAAGCATTTGGAGCCTCAGCAGGTTGATCGGGCTTTTGGTAACATCGTTCAGACATGTTCAGGCCCTTTCACTGACTCCATTTTGCTGCGAAGCCTGCCAAGCGTTCAACAATTTTCAACCCTGCAATGATATGGATTCGGGATTTTAATGTTTCTTCCAATGTAATCGTCAAAACCTTTTCATTTCAACCGGGTCCAAGGGTGAACAAGCTGAAATGTTCCCGACAATTCAATGGCTGCAACTGAGAATGGACACCTTCAAACTATCGAAAGCCCATTCACTTGGATGATTTCATTGACCAGAATTGCAAGAGTTGTCAAGAAAATGGACGGATGATGACTGGATGAAATCAAAACACATCAACACACCCTCAAAAACACGGGATGACATGGGATGACATATTTCCATATATGTTCTCATTTTTCAACTAAGATCTATAACTTACTGACTCACTGCCCAAATATGAAGCTTCAGTACGTACCTGGATTTGTTTTTGAACCATGATTCCGTAGTTGGATTCTCCAACCGGACACGGTGACCGGTGACGTTTTTTTCATGGCGAACGAACAGGTGTGCGGCGACCCAGTGACCGGTGCGGGGTTTCGCCCCACGTGGGGCTCCCGTGTGAGGACCATCGCAGGTGGCAACGGACCACCGAGGCCGAGTTGATGGGGGATGATGGGGGGAATG